GTTGTTTTTCCGTACCGTTCGTTTGTAAAGATTTAGCCGGAAGCTTGATTTTTAAGGGAGGTGAGGTCTTTGAAGAACTTGCAACCGCTGTTGGTGAATTGATCGCAGGTAGAACGATTTTTTTCTTCGTGATCGGAGCGCCATCCTCCTTCTTATGACCTTTCCTCTTGACAGGAACTTTTTTGTGTCCCATTTTATGATTTTATGTTAACAGCTATTGGAATTACATATTGTTAACTTCATCTTGAATATTCATGGTTAAATTATTTAAACAATTTCATTGGACAATTTATTAAATATAAAAGGTAGTGCTGCGCCCGTTTTTTCAAGGTTAAACAGGGATGTCAACAACCGTGACGTCTTACCTTCGTGGAACCCTTGCAAAATTTATACTTTTTCGGATCGCTTAGGATTAATTGTAGGCGCATATCTTAGTTAAGGTAATGGCCTCTTCAATTACGATCTACGTATGCAAACCATATGACCATGGCAAATTTGAAAATTACCTGGTAGGTGGGGCAAAACGTGGCGCAGAACAGGGACAGATTTGTATAAATTAAAGGCGATCTTATTTTAAAACGGCAAATTTTGAATTGTACTAGTACGTATGAGTAATGTAGTGTTATTGTATATGACCTTTTTCTGCCTCGATCAAAAGAGAAACAATAGTTGTTTAAAAAAAAAAAATTATTCACGCACCCTTTAGTTATCTCATAAAGAAATAAGTGTCGTCTTGACTATATTGAACAGCACTTGACCCCATTTGACGCATATCCTCCCCCTTGAAATAACTACAAAATCAGAGTGTATGTCAACAGCCAACGACGAGACCATTGACATTGATGACGATTTGACCTTTGGTTCGATCGATGCCAGTTTTATTAAAGGTTGGACAATTTGCGTGCTCTACTTGCAAGGAAGCGTCAAATAACCTACTTTAAACTTTAAAATATATAAGACAACGGCAATAGCACCGAGGAGTTAAATATTGTTGGTGATAACAAACTCGACGTGTCTCGGTTGCTGGGTCAGGACACCGACAATGCTTCTTCGAACGCATTGAGAATTATAAATGACGGTAAGACAAAGCGGAACAGCAAAGGTCCTCGTTGGAGTGCGGCTGCTCCTTCGAGAACCACACAAATGACTTTGAAAGAACAAGAAAGGGTATACATTTCTTTCAGCCTTTTTGATTCGCGCATGTATCCTAGGGCATGAATGTTGATTAAATTTCATTCATAATTTACATTTGTATATTGCAAGGTTATTGATGAAATCAAGAAGGAGAATTTTAGTTTGAAAATGAAGGTGTATTTTTTGGAGGAGAGACTGAGTAAACTTGGACCAGACGAAATGGTATTTAAGAATTTCTTTCTTTTTCTTTTAAATCTCAATGTGTTTCTGTCTACCTAAGACCTTCATTCAAAATCATGTTTTATTTAGGAAAGGGCACTAAAAGAGGTTTGAAATCTCATGTTATCGATGTGACAGAATCGATCATGTACTCAACAGATCTTTTCATTCACCTTTGACAGAACGTGGACATCAAACTTCAGGTTCACGATCTAAAAAATGAATTGAACAAAAAAAATAAGATGCTTAAAGAAGCTGAAAAACTGGTTCTTACGCGTTCCAGTGCGGATTGTCCCTTGCAGCATGGCATGTCACAGCTGGAAGAAGCCGCCTATCGAAAGGCCATCGCTTCTGCCGAAGAATTAAGCCAAGAAAATAGCGTTCTTCATCGCAAATACGCCGAGCAACAGGTGGAGAACAAACGTCTTCGCGAATTGTTAAGCAAAACGAAGTTGGATGCAAATGTCAATGGAGACTCTCCACTTTACGGGATAACGGATAGTAGGAGCTCTAGTGATCAAGGAACTGAAGTTTCTGCATTACAAGAAGCATTGATTAAAGAAAAGGAGGAAAAACAAGCGATTTCACAAGAAGCTGAAGGTCTTAAACAACAGCTTCGTGATTTCCAACATCAATTGATAGAATCAAACACTGAACTGTCAAAGTTACAGGAGGTAACATTAAAGAATTATGAAAGTTTTAAGAAAGCTGGTTTGGATGGAAATATTTTGTCAAATGATCCAGAAATACTCAAAACTATAAAAAACGCTGAAAACAAGGCAAGACAAGAGGAAATCGAAAAGCATAGCACGTTGATTCAACAATTGAAAGGGGTATGTGAGAATACGTGAATATGATTTCCCTGATTTATAATACGTAGAATTTGTATACTTAATTTTCAACGAATCTTTATTACAGCAAATTGCAACTCTTAAGTCACAGCTTGTTTCACGAGCAAGTGAAAATGAAGATTTACACTCTGACTATGAAATTATCAGAAGTCGTCCCATAAGCGCCGCTTCGTCACGTGGTGATATTTCTTCTAGATTTTTGAATGGAGACTTTAGTGAACAATACGAAGAGGTGCTCTAGAGATTTATTCTTGTTCGAGATTTAGATATGTTGATTTTAACTTAGACTTATTATTGATCTCAACAGAGCCTTGGTCATTTGCGAGATAAGGTTGCGGAATTAACACTTCAGTTACGCGGAAAATGCATGGAGTTTGACCAGCTGGTCATTGAGTTTGACGCAAATAACATCGCACATTCCAAAACCATTCGAGATCTGGAAGAAGAAATGGATAGAATGGAAAGTCAATTTGGTGAAGAAACGGCAATGTTAAGAGAGGTGTGTAATCTGAAAATAATGAAAATCTGATTCAGAGTTTGTAAAATTTGAATTCCTTATAAATTGATTATTTTCACGAAGGACTTAGAGGCAATGCACCGTGAAAACGATCAACTGGTGCAAGAACTTGACACGTTACATAATATTTGCCGAGAAAATGATTTACAACATCATGAATCCATCGAGGAGACAAAGTCTCAGTTGGATAATCAAAAACAAGAGATAACAGATCTGATGCAATCTCTTGAAAAAGTAGGTTATTTAATTAACACTTTCGTAAACCGTGATAGATATTTTTTAAAACGCTATGATTATTCCAGACCAAAAACGAGTTGGAAACAAAATCGAAAGAGTTGTTAAATTTCACAGAATCTCTTAAGAAGGTTTGTTTTTTTGATAAATTAATGATTTTGATGACCTAAAACTAGAAATTTGAAATATGTACGTATAATGAAAACTTAATACAGTCGAATAACCAAGTAACATCCTTGGAACAATCACTTAACGAGAAAGATGAAGAATTAAACGAAATTCGCAGTCTGTTAGAATCGAAAATAAAAGAAGCTGAGTCCGAAGAGAAATTACACGAAGAAATGGTTTCTGACTTGAGAGGGGTATGTTTTTTTTTAAAAAAAAAAAAGGTGTCTACAACAATACAAAACACAATATCGACAGCCTTACTTGAGGTCATATTTTTTATTAATAGAAACTTTCGATGAACAAGACGAAAATTAACGAAATGAGTGCGGTTAAGGATACTACCGTTAAGCAAATAAGTCTTCTTCGACAAGAATTGGAAAACTATACGACTCAAATGAATGAGATCAAACAGAACCTAAGTTATGAGATTGAACAACGAAATGCCGCTGAGACAAGAGAGAAGGAATTAATCGATGAAAGAAACAGTGAAAGGGAAAATTACGAAAAAGAATTGGAAAAATTACGTAAAGACAAGAAGGATAGTGAAAAACAGCAAGATCAAAAATTGAATGAACTGATTGAGGTTAGATACTATATTTTAGTTTCAGGTATTACTCGAAACGCATATTAACAGAAAATTCGTCGTCGTTTGCTTTAGAAACTTTCAGTGGCAGAACAACAGATATTGGATCTTGGTATGACAATTCAAGAACGCGAAGCCGATCTCCAATATGTTAGGCAGCAACTCAGTAATCAAGTTGGTCGTACAAAAGATGCAGCTGATCGATACGCAAAAGAACAAGAAAGACTTCGAGTGGTACGAGTATTAAAATATCTGAAATTGCATCTCAACATATTCAAATATTTTTTTTGATCCTTTCAGGAGTTGGATACAATGCGACATGAATCTGAGAACTTGCGCTCACAATTAGAATCCATTGGAGATGAACTAGAGAATAAAAAGACACAAGCTATGGAATATGAAAACGAAATTAAACATTTGGTGCGGATTGCTTGTTTTTAGGAAGTAGTTACACAAAAATTTTCATAATACTAATTACAATTTGGGATTCAGAATAATTTACGTGTAAAACTAAATGAAAAGCTAACTGCAAGCGAAGCAGCTCGTTCAAAGGCCGAAGAAGTTTTCCGTAATTTGCAAATGGATGTTCGCGACAAAAATTCGACAATTGAAGAGCTGAAGGCTCAAGTTGCTCATCTGGAAAATAATTTAACCCAAGAGAAGAAGGTACTTTGTCGACTCGAACTGTAAATTAAATTTTGATCCGTTAATAAGCTAACATTCTTTATTTGTAGTCGACATATTCAAATGAAACTCAATATCGTGATCAGATTATTGAGCGCAATACTCTGTTGATGACGACTTATCAATATTTGGATACAATAATGTCAGATGGTACAACCAAACAAGTACACAGATAATCTCTAATTATAATTAAAATCCCTCTTGTTGGTTGATGTCTTTTCTTCATGAATTCTAAAACTTTTGTTTTCTATAGTCTATTCATCCCAAGCCGTCCGCTAATTTCGCGATATTTCACGAGCATTTGTTGGCAAAGCTTAAGACACTTAGTCATGTTTATAATACTTTTGATCGACGAGCCAAGGAAATAGACAATCGTTGGCAAGAACAATATGAGTAAATATTTATTAACTAAATAATTTGTTCCTTTTCTTTCGTGTGTAATGATATATTCCTTGTTATTTGGCTCAATATAGATCACTTAAGAGTCAGATGGATATAAAATTAAGGTTATTAAATAAATTTGAAGGAATGATACAAAAGGCTTCTACCGCTCAGAAAGACTGGCGAGAACAGACAAAAAAGAATCAAGGCGAACTTGAAGCCGCGAGGGTGTGTACATTTTTAACTATCAAAGAACCTTTGATCACATGTTAAACATTCTCATTTATAGAACACAAACGAAGAACTTATCGAACAGCTGTCGACTTTACGTGAACAGCTTGACGAACTTCGAGCTGTAAGTGCACGCGCCGAAGAACTTGAAAGCAAATTAAGAGAAAGCGATAAGCGTAACAGGGCATTTGAATCACAAATGAAAGAAGAAGAGAGGAAATATGATTCACGTCTCAAAGATTTAGATTACAAGGTACGGCAGGCCGAAGAAAGATTAAAGGTGGAAAAGCAGGGCGCCAAAGAAAAAGTTGAATCATTGATTGAAAATGTCAAGTACGTCTTTTCTTTTGAAAATGTATACATTGATAGTTTGAATAGTTGATAATATTTTTATTCTTTATAGGGACCTTGAGACACAGTTACAAGCCCAAAATCGACGAAACACGCAATTACAGGAATTAATCTCTATTCAGAAAGCTTCAATGGAGGTTGGATAATTTTTTACCAAATTCCCTATGCATTATGTAATCATAAGGTTAAGCGATTTTCTTAATATTCTTAAGGCAACTAATGAATCGAAAGCGATAGCCGCAAAAGCAGAAAATACTTTTGCTATGCTCAACGAACAACTTCGCGAACAACTTGAAGAGAAAAACAAATCCATTGACAATGAAAGGCAGAGGGTGAAGAATCTGGAAGAACAGGTTAGCACTTAACTAAAAACTTTGCAGATCAACTAATTTAATGAATGAATGATAATCTTAAACAAGCTTATTTGTGTATGAAAGTTCGCTAGTTTAATTGAAGAGCATAAACGACTATGTGTGACAATCGAAAAGCGAGAAGCTTTATTAAACAAAGCGCTTGGTGGGCTACAGGTAAGATGATTTGGTTACTTTTATTTCAAAGGTTGAACTTATTAAAATACTGAATTCTATACGTAGATGATCAATCAACGAAAAGATTTGGTTGAACATACAGTATTTCAAAATTTGCGCGAAGTTACCGAGGAAGTTCGATCGACTCTTCTTGATGGCGAAGGTCATCGAAGACATTCTTACCAACCACCACCCTACATTAATCCACCTTGGAAACCAGCTGGAAATAATCCGTCTCTAGCTAAAAAGGTTGTTAGCCCCAAAGCGACATCATCTAAAACGACTTCCATTCCAACTTATTCCTCATCATCAAAAATAAAAGCTGTGAGCAATATAAAATCGGGAATACCAACTCGAGCATCATCTAGTGAAAAAACACACGGTTCTTCCGCTTCTAATCACAATAACAATAGCACGACCACTCAACGAGGAGTCTCTCCAAAAGAAGCAAAATAATTCAAAAAATTTTGTACCAAAATGCATGTCATTCATAAAAAAAAAAAAAAATCTTAAATCCCATAATTTTATTTAATTTTTGTACGGTAAAACTCCCTTCAAATGTTAATGTATGATGGTCTGTAGATATTGAATGTTTCAAAATGCAAAGCAAAGTTAGAACACTTAGCATTAAACAGAGATAATGAAATTTTTTCATAATATAATTTTAATAGAACATAGCAAACATCAAAGATTTTACAATACGGATGTTTTTTTTCAAATATTCTCATGTAGCATTACCAATGATTTGTAAAATAAATATTTTAGAAAAGTGCGTTATGAGGTTATGTATTGTCTATTGAGTTTCTTGCCAAATAATTCCGCCTTGAAAATTATATAAAATTTTTTAATATTTATATATTTAAATATTAGAATAAAATGATATGCCGTATACATTATATACTAATTTATAATTTCTTTTATTTCATATTTTGCTTTTTTAAAAATTTTCATTAATAATCGTGATACAAAGGAATTGCGTTCAGAAACGACCATACCAGAAGGGGCATACTCGATTACAATCACGTGTTTTATTTACAAGTTGCCTAAATTTGGGTGTTTCCAGGGTGTCGCGTTTGAATTCTGCCTTCGTTGACGGCAATCCCGGATTGCAGAGCTTATTATACAGGGCACTATATGATTTTTGAAAAATTTCTCGTACTGCTAATAGTGTTCCTAGTTCATCAACAAAGGATAACATCTCTTTTACTGATGCCGGTACTGTAATCTGACCAATATGAAGCATAAAATATGTTCCTCTTTCAAGATTTAACGTATAAAAGTCAATCGTATAATCTACATGTTTGAAATTAAAATGGTTAAACCAATTTGTATTTAAAAAAATGCATTATAATAAACTTTCTTACCAACACATTGGAAACCTATTATGTTAATGTCAACACCTTTATCTATTGAAAAATCAGCACAATCCTTCATGAACACGCCAATTCGAATAAGGTCATTACAATTTTTGTGCACATTGTTTTTTTGCGATGGCGGACTGACTTCGCCCACAAATACTACAGCTTCTGTTTGAAGTTGATGAATAACTGAGACGGCAAAATCCGGTTGCTTACTTCTTCCTTCAAATTTTTTTGATCTGCTTTCATTTAAAGCTGTATTAGGCCATTGAACGATGTGTTTATCCGGATGATGAAACGCGCCTTTCATAATATAATCCAAGTAATTTGTAATTAATGTTATTTCACTAGGCTCGTTCCTGATTTCTTCACTAGGTAATGTTTCCAGACCCTTTAAAATTACATAACCCAAATTTTCCTTCAAGAGTTGATCATCTGTAAGCTCTTTGAGAAACCAGTCCATGGCATCGTCACGAGACTTTTTCGCTTTCTTGATAGACTCCCGAAATTTTAATTCACATTCTAAATTAAGCGTTGCACACTGGATAGGGATGATCCGTCGATGTATTTCATCAAGTAATTGTGAACCAAATATGGTGATCATCGTTTTTGAATGTGATCCAGGGGTTAATAAAAAAATTGATGATAAAGACAAGATTTCGTGAACATTGGATTCCACAGTTAAACCACCATTTTTTGAAATTTTAACTGATTCGTTCTGATACTGTCTGAATAGCTGAGACACATTGATATTCCTTATTTTATAATCATATGTGTGTTCGTTTCTCTCAAAATAAATATCACCAACATCATCAACTATTAGACTGTCATCATCTTTCTCGATCTGTCCAATAAATAAATTATCGATCGGAGAATACCTTCCTGGTGAAATATAGTCATCGTTGTTTGATCTTTTAAATATCCTTTCGTCATAAAAATCAAGATTCATTCGTTTTTTTGGAGTAACAAGTTCATTCTGACGACGTAAACGGTATCGATATAAGATCGAGAAAAGAAAACTGTATAATCAGACTATTAGACAAACTTACCTCCATTTTTTGAAATTCTAATGTTAATTTATTACTTGATATATCGTGCTCGGTTATAACGTTAGAATCAATAAGACATTTATGTTGTTTCTAAGTTATCTGAAATTAGTAATGATATCAATCACTGCCTACAATACAAGCATAGATACTAACTTTTTTCTCTTCAACAATTATTTGATTAACGCGAGTTTTGTTTTGTTCGTCTTGTATCCGTACACTATTCCAATACTTTTCTACGTTAGAAGAACCCAAATGTTTATCAATCGCGTTGTATAGGCTTTCTGCTTTCTGGGAGTATTCATCATTCATAGAAGCAAGTTTTTTCAACGTTCTCCGCAAATCATCTTCAGCTTGATATTTTTGAGAAAATTGATATCCTAGTTTCTTGAAAAATTTACTGGCCGTAAAACCCTGTGAAATGACTTCTTTCAGAATATAGATGTGATTCTATAAAGTAAAATGCATAATATTAATACAAACAAACTCAATAACAATCGACTAAAAAATATAATACATGCCATCGTCGTCTAAAAAAAAAATATTGTAATGCTTTAATCATTAGCGAAAAGTTAGTAAATAATATTTCATTCTTCAACCCAACTTTTTTCAGTTATGGTAAGACCAATGCATCTCAAATAATCTTAATGCATTCATTTCTCCGACAACACCAAAGCGAGTGATCTCCAATGGAATTACAAGCCAGGTAAATGCTAGCTGCCAAGAGCCAGAACACTACCATATCCTAAAAAGTTATAACAGTATTCCTCCGACAACACCAAAGCGAGCGACCTCCAATGGAATTACAGGCCAGGAGAATACCGGGTTTGCAAAGACATAAATTAAACTTAACTGAAAAAAAGACGCGTCGCAGATATTTATTGAAAGAAATGATCAACACGCACGTTATAAAAAATAATTGATACGTGACATAACATATGTGATCGCATATTTGTCACCTTATGCTTATCCAGCATATCAGATAGCATATACAGTATACAGTATATTGTTAAAGGTAAAAATGGTTATACAAAAAGATAAAGGAATAAAAGAAAGGGATTAAGAATATTATAGTAAGTAAGTATATCGAATATCAAGTATATCAAGTATATTGGATATATCAAGTATATTTGATATATTTGGTATATCAGGTATATCAAATATATTGTATAGTAAAGAAATATAAAAGTAATAAATAAATCAAATTAATGGAGGATTGTTACATAATATAAGTCAAATCAAATCAACTAACTTGCTGTATTACACTATAACAATATGATGATTCAATTCAATTTAATTTTCAATTTTTAGGTTTATATTAAATTTAATATATGAATAATCCATTATTATTTTTAATAGTGTTTCAGAACTATAAGTATATATAATAAAATTAAAAAAAAATTTTTTTTCATAATTAAAACAAATTTATACTGTTTATTAAATTTTTTATAAAAAAAACAAATAATATATGATGCTATAATAAAACAAATAACTTAGTCTTATTTTACTTATTTTTTATTGACTTATTTTTTATTTTATTTTTAGAATTAGTATTTATTTATTTATTTATAGCATATGTAATTATTTATAGTTTATATTATACATGTGATAGAAATTATTGAATTAAGTTAGACACAATTAAAAATAAAGAATTTAACAATTGAATCAAATCATATTTTTTTATAGTTGGCATAATTATTTTGATGCAATTATTTTGACACAATTATTTTGATACAATTATTTTGACACAAATATTTTAATACAAATATTTTAATGCAATTATTTAATATAATTATTTTGATACAATTATTTTGATATAATTATTTTTATAAAAATTAAATTAATACAATTAT